CTTTGACAAAAGAAGAAAACTGCGTATTATGCTTTTATTTCTAAAGAAAATCTAACAAAAAATACTGGACGTTCCAAAATCAGTCGATTTATTTTTCTTTTCTTTTCAAACGCATATGTAAAGTAGAAGATTTATTTGTATCGTTACATGTACACTAGTTTAGTGTGAACTATTGTTATTAATTGTTACATTATTATAAAAACAACAAACCCATCTTTAATCAGAGAGCACTAAAAAGAGAAAGGATTACCTAATAGGAATTTTAGATGTCCGGTTAAAAAAAAGTTTTATTAGATACACGAATAACTAATTAACTTTGTCTGTGTTAAAATGGAATTGCATTTCGTTCTCCTACTGGCAAATTATTGTCATTAGAATTAAAAGGACGTTTTGTGTTATTGCAAGTCTTCGGTTTTTAGGCATGATCATGTTGGCGCGTTTTCTTATTGTTCGCTGGCTTATTGTTCGCTAGCTTGATGCATCTTAGTGTTCGCTGGCTTAGTGTTCGCTAGCTTGAGTCTGGTCAATAATTCATACAATTCATCTGGCAAATTTCGTACATTAAAGTTAACCTCTGGTTCCTCAGTATTTGAGTCACATCTATTCATATCTTTGAAAAAGTCACAGAGAGCTTCAATAGAAATTCAGGATCTACGCCTTTTTTCTGACCCAATACTATTGAGAATATTCCAAAACTTTTTAGTCTGACGTAACTTATTGCCAATATCTTTTTGTTACAGTTCATATGCTTTAGAAAGTTCAATTTAATAGCTTTTACTTAAATTTTTTATTTGTTTTCGATTTTCAGCGTTTTTTACAAAACTGTACCTTTTCCGCGCTTTGTGGAATTTTTTTCTACTATCAAAACATTGCTTGTTAAACAAAGGTTTTGTATCGCTTTTTGGTTTGCGATTTTTAAACGGCTTATATTTACGAAAAGTTTTCGTAGCAACTGATTAAAAAAAGTTGCTGATTCTCTTTGCAACTTAAATTTGTTCATCTCATTTTGATGAATCCCTTGTTGTACCTCTAAATTGTCTAATTCTCTCAGTATCTGTTCTAACTGACAAATATCTTAAAATATGTGACATCCGTCGTGTTTTTTAAATCGACTAAGTTATGTTGGTCAGTTATTTTATACCAAGTGATTAGGCATCATGCAGTAGACATAGTTAATATGGTAATTGACTCTTATACACGTATGAAAAATATTCCGTGTTCCACAAATCCACATACAAAGGCTTAAGGTTTATGAAGCACATTTTTGAAAAAATGCAGAAGACATAAACAAATTCAGATTTTGTACTTGTGGCAAATATCATGAATATGTACAAAGTCATGTTACATTTGTACGTGTGAATAAACCCACGATTGTAAAAAACGCATATTTGTATTGCTAAAGATTTCTTCTTTATGTGGCATTATGTATAAGTAAATGCGTCTTCCAAGGATAAACTAATACGTTCCAGTTTAAAAAAAACAGAGTTAAAATAAATCAGGCAGAGAAAAAAAATGTTGTAAATACGGTTCTGATTATTGTTCTTTAAGCTATGTAGAGAAGTGGTCTGCAAATGTAATCACATTTTGTGATGCAGCATTTAGATATGTCCTTAAAAACCTTTATAAAGGTTTAACGTACCAGACTTAAGTAATACGAACACTTCCGTCATCTGACAGTCAAGATTCCCTGCATATTGACTTCGTAATCCAACTTATCTTGAACTACCTTTGATTATCATTAGAACAAAAGTTGAACTAGTTTAAATGTGTTCCCTTATCAATATTCAAACAGATTATTTGTTAACAGTACTTTATATTTCAAGTTAAAAACTGTATAAACATGAATACCGTGAAGGGGGCATCGAGGTCAATCAGACTGTAAAAAAAGTACACATAGAAACATAAAATGTGTTACATGTAAATGTAGATCTTAGAGCATACTAAATGATGTAAACATACATACAGTTCTGCCAACTTTTAATAATGCAAATGCGTGAGATTTGGCCAAAATCGTAAAGATCAAAGAGAAAAAACAATAGATCAAAGGAAAATGCCGCCAAATAAGCATGAAAATGCGTGAGTCTCATGCTAACATATATTCCGACTGCATTAAAAAATCGATATGTGTATAAAAAGAAGAGAATATTTACAGTACACGGGGGGAAAAGTGAAATAAATAAAACGTAGTGTCAGAAATATTTCGTCATAAAAGTGAAAGTAAAAGTAGACGTAAACGAACATATTGAGGTGTGTAGGTCAGGCGAGTGTGTAGTATTGATTGTATTTGTTAAAATGGCACAAAGCGAGATATCAAGAAGGAAAAAGGTAAGTCTTTAGTCTGTGAGAACATGATTTATGCAGTAATTGAAATCGGTTTTGTACTAGCTTTCAGTAAACATGGTAACTGCGAGTACTCTGAGATCGATTATTTGTGTCTTCATAATTGTTATTGTTTGTGCTTCGTGTTAATAGACGAGTCAAGCCATTTCCAACTGTCTCTCATCTCTGTTGTTCATTGTTGTTTTGTTATAAGTCGGCCCGATTTTTTTTTTGGTGTAATTGTACCAGAATTGGTCATATCGGGGTCTTTTATAGGAACTATTATGTTTGGGTTTTGCTCATTTTTGAACACCATAAACAGTACGGTACATGTAACATATAGTTGCTCACATCCACGTCATTCGGACTCTGGTGGCTAGTTGTCTCATTGGCAATCATACTACAATGCCTTATTTCATAAGAAACATATTTTAGTTCGTCCAGACAACTGAAGTACACACGACGTGCATAGTCCGCTGTTTCTTAATTAGTAACAAATTTAATTTGCAACTGTATTGAAAAGTCTGAAATGCATGGCCGCATGGTAACATGACCTATATTTTAGAATTATGACAGTTGATTTTTATTCGTTCCGTTGGTTGATATAGTCACTTTGATTTTGTCAGTTTCTGTAATCTTCAATGAGAGCAAACTATTTGTCACTTCACTTTTGAAAAAAAATATTTGTTTTTAAGAAATTTTAAATCATTCAAAAACCGACAAGACGATGAAACGAAAAACGACGAAAAAACATGCTCAACGTGCGGCACCAGATGTAAAAAATAATTTTAGCCTTAAGGATACATGTAGTCAAGTGAAATAAAAAAAAACTAATTTAAAATTGGTACTATTAGTCAGAAGGGAATTAGTTAAGGAACAAATTCAGCTAAAAATATTAATAGGTTATGGAACTCCTTTTCGAGATATTTCATTTTGAAAAAATGGCGGGAAAACTTTAAGGCTGACTCGGACTTTTACCTTATATTTAGCATTGACATTTTTTTTTCTCAAATCGAATTTAAGAAGAACTTTAAGAAGGCTAACAAATTTAGCAAAACTTGTACAATTTACATTAAACTTTCTCTAAGTTTATGGTTTTACTCCGTTTAATGGTAATGTGGGGATTCATAAAGACGTGTGGACATTTATTGGTGGACACCATGTGTTGTTCTCTTGATGTCCTTTGGTTATTGGTGTTGTTTGGTTGCTGTTTAATTGACGTATACATCACATCTCCTTGTATTATATCACCGGTTTTTAAAGTATTCGTTATATAGTGATTGGAGAGTTTGTTCGTTTGTCCATCCATTCATTCTTTCTTTTGTCTAACTTTTGTATTTGCAACTGCTCCAGAAATACGTAACAAAATTTTAATAAACTTTCACAAAATCATAGTCATATGGTTCTTATTTCATTTCTTTGTCTGAGTGATTTTTGGGGTTTACCTTGGGATGACAGACTTACTGTAGTACACATTTGTGTCCACTTCTACTCCTAAACCCCTAATCATATCTTATTGTAACTTTCTCAGTACGTACCGATTATCAGGTTGCCTGCATATTGATAATGTAAAATATCAGCAGCGAGTCATAATATGAAGCTTTTGTCGATTGAGCGAAGCGAACGAGTTCAAAAGGGCTTCATATTGTGTCGAGCAGCTGATATTTTACAATATAAATATGCAGACAACCAGATAATCGATTTATCGGGTTGTATATGCGTATTTTGCAAGAGAGAAACAAGTGTTTTCTTGGTTTCACCAGCAAACCGGAAGATGACTTGATAAGTTCGGGTCAAACTTATCAACGTCAGTTCATACATTATGACGTCGCTGATATATTCGGGTCAAAGTTATTAAGGCCGGGTCAACGTATGTGACGTCACAAAGCCGTGATATGCAATTTTATTAAGAGCTAAGCAGTGTGATATAGACAGTGGACGACCGATAATTAACCATATAATGTCATTGTGTACCTATCATATTTTTTATCCGAATAATTTTTGGGGTATTTCTTATTAAATTATGGACTTACCCCAACCCTTATAACAATCTATTAAAACTTCTAATGCTATTGTGTAATGTTTTTTTATATAAAAAAATTATATATAAGAACATAGTACATTCTTGTCCAATGGAAAATCAGTATTTTGCCTTCTACTTTTCATAGTACATGGCTTTCCATGCACTATAAAATGCTATACGTGAATGACTTTTCATTGTAGATTAATAATGAAAGCCGAAACTACACTAACGAAGTGTACAATCCACTGTGGCATTTTCCAAAGGAAAAAAGCAAAAAAAAAAATCACGAGTACTATTGTTTGCCAGTCCAATTATTATAAACCAAACCAGGAGAATAGAACAATAAAAGCATCTTATGTTGAGATTTCACTATTGTTAACATTAAAATATGGTACATATATAGAACAAACAAAAATTAAGAATTAAAAAGGGGGCAAAGGTGTAGGTAAAAAATAGCATGTAATCGAATTTTTGTACGAGACCAAATCAATGGGTTTTTCTTAAGAAACAGTGAGTGTTGATATAAAAAGCAAAGGATTTTTTGAAGAAAAAAAAAAACAATACATTCATCAATGAAAAAAAGTAAGCATCTGCTGCTGAAACGATCGTAATTTTAAATTTAATTAATAAAGTTTGGAGTTTTTTTTTTTGCAGAAAAAAGACGACCATCAATTTGATTCGAATGCTGACCAAGAGGCAAATAAAAACCATCAATGTATTATACATGTTGACGATGATCCAACCAAAAAATCCTAAGTATGATCTAAAACAAGATTTATTGGAAGAATGCAAAAAATTATTAGGAACCACATTATCAGGAAAAAGGCCTCTGAATATTGCGGTCTTAGGGCCACCTGGCTGTGGAAAATCTGCCTTCCTTAATACAGTGTTTGCCAGTTTTAGTAACGACCGGTGGAGAGAGCATGCCAAACAAGGAAGTTTTAGTGCCATGGGTAAACAAGTTACCAGACGACTAAAAAGGTGACTCTCTAATTGAAAATTATCATACCTCAGTATGTATTTTCTTTATAAAATTATAGACGAATAAATTTACTATTTTTACCAAATTGTCTGAAAAAGACTATATACCGGTTAATAGCTTCACAATGAATTTACTGGATGTGAACTATTAATTGGAAGCAAACATTTATCCATAAAAAGACTATTTATTAACTGCTTAGTTCTGTAGTTTCAAAAATTTAAATACTGAAATTTGTTTAATTTACCATTCACAATAGTAAAGGTTGGTTTCAGGTCGACTAAGACTAATGGGTTTTTGTCTAAACTGAATGAATGAATGAATAATTTCATTCTCATAAACTAATGAGTCAGACATAGTTATAGAGACAATAAGTTAATTAATAAACGTTTGACAGTCTATCCTTCCGGAAAATTAGTTAAATTTAGGCCTGATGAAGTAACGGCTTCTCACACTAAAATGATAAACATGTTTCTTCACGACCCTTTATGATCTAAACATGTTTACATTAATTTTAAAAACACTTCACATCTAAACGTGTTTCCAGACAAAATACTTCACAGCTAAACGTGTTTCCAGATAAAACACTTCACAGCTAAACATGTTTTCAGATAAAACACTTCACAGCTAAACATGTTAACAGTCTAAACACTTTACAGCTAAACATGTTTACAGTCTAAGCAATTTATAGCTTGACACGTTTAGGCTGTTAGCACATTAAATATTAAACATGTTTAGATTTAAACATGTCAAAAATCGGTTTCATAAATGTGTTTAGGAAAGTGTTTAGGCTCCAAACACAATTTTTAGAATGTTGGCGCCTTCAAACTTGTTTAACTCCGCCACATTCTGTATGTGCCTGTCCCAAGTCAGGAGCCTGTAATTCAGTGGACTGGTTGTCATGTGTTGTTGTATATTATATTGTTTTTCGTTTATTTATTTTTTTACATAAATCAGGCTGTTAGTTTTCTCGTTTGAATTGTTTTACATTTATTATTTCTGGACCTTTTTTAGCTGACTATGCGGTATGGGTTTTACTCAATTACTAAATTTGTTAATTTCTGTGTCATTTGGTCTCTTGTGAAGATTTGTCTCATTGGCAATCATACAACATTCTTCTTATTTTTATACGTACTGATGGGCAGCGGAAAACAACTTACGAGGTCAACTAAATGGAAACAGACGAACGAGTCATCATCGATGGATATATAGGTGATGGCTCACCTTTGCTTTTGGCTGTATTAAGCAAACATTGTGTAAAAGCTGAGCAATATTGATGATAAAACATTACGTATGCATGATTCTAAGTTTCCTGCCATGTTTGTCAGTGAATAAACTAAAAAACTGTCTTGTTTTATTTTAAAAATACAAACTAAGTAGGGTAATTGTTCGAGGAACATTTCACGTTGTAGATACAGTCAGTCGAAACCTTATGCGTGGTTATGAATTATGAAAAGAGTCAAATCTCTCTCACCAGTGACTTTAAACAAAAATGCAAGCCTTCTGTCCTTTTTGGTTGTGTGTCTGTACTGTCAGATGAAATGGTACTATCAAAATTCTTATGGGTAAAGAAATTGTCAATTTTGCGTTGCATTGTAACTTAACAGAACACCCCGCAGACACAATATTCGTCTGCTATAAAAAGAGAAGAAATTAAGCGCATGGGATGGAAACGAACGCCGGGAGTCTGAGAAGTGATGTCGTTGACTTCAACAACTTTTCCCTCTCTCACTCCCTCTTTTTATTTTATTTTTTTTTAATTTTTTTGTTTCTTTTTTATCAAAACAATGTTAAAGCCATTTGCTAATTGCCCTTTAAAGGAAATTGCTCCGAATACTAATGTCTTGAAAACAGAAAGAGATGAAGTAACTGATACGCTACATATTTCCATTATTAGCATCTTTTATTAATTTTGATGTGTTTTAAATGTTTCATCAAGGAAAGTAAACCGTTTTCAATATTTCAGCTATAGGAAGGAAGTCTATTACAGAGAAACGGATACAGTTTTATTGCCTACGTTTATAGATATGACTGGATTCGAAAACGAAGATTCAGAACTTAACAGAGAACTTCTAAACATAATTTTGAAAGGAAAAATGAAAGAAAATGAACTCCTCTCAGATGTTATCGAATACGGAAAGAAATACAGAGAATATGCATTAAGAATGAAATACAGTACCAGACCTGTTTACAAACGTGTAGACCGTATTATAGCTGTTTGTTCATGTAACCCGTTGTCAAATTTACAACGTTCTTTGTTTGAGACGATAGCTGAAATCGCTAGTAATAAAGGTAAGTTTGAGTAAGTCAGATGCATGCAATTTACGGATAGCGCTTGACGTCTTACGCCGTACAGTTTTATCTTTTTACTTGCTTCTATACCAGTATGCTGGTTCATGTTCTGGACGCCAATTTTTGTTCCTTTCAATTGGAAATACGAATACATGTACCCTGTTTACATTTTCTATTCTATACACTTATGTACATTGAACTTTAGTTCCAATATCGAAGTCAACTTTTATTTCTTTTAGTGAACATCATAGAAACAAATGTTTAGATCTCTAAACTCATTTCATGACATCACTAGACTGATGAATTCCTAGACATGCAACTTGAAATACATGTAATTATTGTGTTCATGATTTTTTTTCTGCGAAGTGCGACGCAATAATGAAAGGAATCGCTTATTTTATCGGACTGCATCAAACAATTTGCAATATATTGTCCTGGGTTTTGTAAATATGTAAAATTCTTACAACTATTTGAATGTAGTGTTTATTTTACAAATATGTGTTTAATTAATTTTTAGACATAACCGTGTATGGGGTTATGACACACGCAGATGCATTCTCAACAGAGGATAAAATTAAAGAAAAAGAAGCAAAAAATAGAAATTTACTGGGTATACCAGATACAAGGTTTGTTCGTATTATGAACTATTGTTCTGAAGTGGATCCTACTCATGCATACCTTAAAACTGTAATCCCAACATTGGATGTTCCAGTTCTTCGACTGATGACACAGGTATATTAGCCCAAAATTATTTTTATATTCATTGAAAATCAATCAAAATAAATGTTCAATGAATATAAAAATAATTCAATTTTGATTGTAATTATTCATGCCCTTGAGTTGACTTGTTTATAAAGTGCACATGTCCTTAATATATAAAAATAAGAAGATATGGCATGATTGCCAACGAGACAAACTGTCCACTAGAGATCAAATGACGTAGAAAAAAAAACTATAGGTCACCAATGAGCAAAACCTATACCGGAAAGCATGTCATGTCATGTAAACGGCCCCAAACTGACAAATGTAAAACAGTTCAAACGAGAAAACTTATTTATTGTCCATTTACTACTTGTCTCTACTTTTGTTCAAAATAATTCTAGAAATAGAAAAAGCGGACGTCTTGTTTATTTTTATTTATATTTTCATAGTGATAACTTTGTATTCAATTATGTTAAATTTAGAATGAAAGAAATTCACGAAAATTATTTGGCTTTTTCAGGTTTTACCACGGGAGGAAAATGATGATGTAGAACCTGAGCCTGATCCGCAAGATACTAAAAGAGACTATGTGTACAGATATTGGAAGCCAGGATCGGCACTAGTAGTAATAATACTATTGTTACTGTTTGGAACGTTAGGCATTGTTATTATTATCATTCTGATAATTGTATTATCGCTGGTCTACTTTTTGAAAGGTCAAGAAGTACTGTCACAATTAATCTTCTTTGAATGAATTATCGTAGCCTAGACACACCATAAATGAAAACAATTGTACTTATTATTTTCTGCTTATATTATTGTTGAGGGTGCGGATGGGGGTTTACAGAATATATAGTAATGGGCAAAAACATAAAGAAAAGAGAATAATAAACTAAAAAAATAAGAAAAGAGAATAATGAGTTGCTAAAATATAAAGAATAGAGAATAATGAGCAAAAAGTATAAAGAATAGAGAAAAATGGCCTAAAAAATTAAAGAATACAGAAATGAAGGACCAACCATCCATACCCTCATTGTTGAAGTAGTCGAAATGCCATTGGCATAACATAAAATGTACATCTGTAATTCAAATATTTTCTAATCAAATCTGCCTTTTAAATTTTGACTTCCAAATTGTCTTGATTTGATAAAAAATTAAGATGAAAAAATATGTTTTGTAAATAATGCTGAGCTTTCAATTAATTACAATTGCACCTCGAGGACACATTACGTGCATGATTTCTTTATTAAAATTTGACTTCATGTCCCGCAATTGATACTGTAAAACTAATTACAATTACAAATCGAATATCTTAACAAAACTACCCATGATAGTTTAAATTTGTTAATTTGAGAATCAATAAATTTTTGTTATCTTTATCAAATCAAAGAAATATGTTCTTAACCATAAGTGATAAACATACAAAGCAAATGATGATTTAATATGGATGTGATTTGATCATTTTGAATAAACTTATCAATGATTGAAAAGTATTTTTTTGTTTAAAGTTAACACCATGAAAGGACTACTTAAAACGCAATCTATTTGAAAAAGAGAATTTCTATTTTATTCTCTTTTTTCAATGTTTTCTATTTGTGTGAACAAAATATTCCAACAAACATTTAACTGGCATGATTGTAACAAATATATTTGATGATGGTATCAAATAACACTACACAACAAAACTTGGAGAACAAGAAATAAACACGTTTTACTTTACATGTACAAGAAACGTAGAAATAATTGTTAACAAGTATTGGGGAAATTTCCCCATAAAGTTAATAACCAATCAGATATCAAATAATTGGGGAAATTTCCCCAAAAAGATGATGACAACAAATCAATAGAATGGGGAAATTTCCCTAAAACGATGTTAACGAAAAAGAAATCAATAGAATGATCAAATCTCCCCAAAATAATGAAAAGTAAAATGAAATCAATAGAATGGTAAAATTTCCCAAAAAAAGATTATAACCAACAAGAAATCAATAGAATGGGGATATTTCCCCAAAAAGACGATAACCAACAAGAAGTCAATAGAATGGGGAAATCTCCCCAAAAAGATGATAACCAACAAGAAGTCAATAGAATGGGGAAATCTCCCCAAAAAGATGATAACCAACAAGAAGTCAATAGAATGTGGAAATTTCTCCAAAAAGATGATAACGAAAACGAAATCACTAAAATGGGGAAATTTCCCTACAAAGTTGATAACCAAAAAGAAATCAAAAGTCTGGGGAAATTTCCAAAAAAAGATGATAACGAAAACGAAATCACTAAAATTTCATAACCAAAAATAAATCAATAGACTGGGGAAATTTCCAAAAAAAGATTGAAACGATACCAAAATCAATAGAATGGGGAAATTTCCTTACACAGTTGATAACCAAAAAAATATTTAGACTGGGGAAATTTCTTCACAACGATTTTAACCAAATAGTTATCTATAGACTGGGGAATTATTCCCACAGATATGATAACCAAAATAAGTTCACAGGCTTGAAGAAAATACTCATGCATTGCACAATGATTGCACATTCCGTTGTATACAACAGCGAGAAATATGTCGTCTAACAGATACTGTAAGAATAGAAAAGAGTCACTGTGGTGAAACATTTTCAGCAGCAGATAACACAATTGAAAGGAATCATTGGCTGGGGAAACATTCACACTGATAAATTAAACAACAAACATCAGAGATAGAGATGATACAGTATAGGAAATGGGCTAATTTCCTCACAAACTCTTGTTTAACTGTAATCATGTATATCGGGGCCTTTAATAGGCGACTAAACAGTATGGTTTTTTCTCATGTTGAAGGCCGTAAGGTTGCCGTTAATTTTTAAAAACCACTTAAAATGATCTTTGAGGAATAGTTGTCTCATTGACAATCATACCCGATCCCCTTATTTATGAATAGCTATAAATTAACTCGTATGTTTTAACCTGTCGGGGCCTCGGTGGTCGATTGCTCCAAGTAGTCCAACTACTGTATCACTAGCCAGTCAACGCTGAGATTATGAGTTCGAATTCCGCTCGTGCAAGGTGCGCTCGACTCCAATCTTAATTGACTAGGCCCATGATTGTCAGTTTTCCTATCGAAGGTTCGTGGTTTTCTTCGGGCCATCCAGCTTACTCCATCAATAAAAAATGACCGCTTTGAAATAGCACAATAGTGTTGAAAGTGGCGTTAAACACCAACAAATCAATCAATCAATCAATTTAATCTGGTGAATTTCAAAGCCCGTTTGAAAAAATTACACCCTATGGGAGACCATGAAAAAAATTGACACATTTGAAGTGAGTTTATAATCTTGCAGAATGTGGTTTTAATTTCAACTGTTCAACATTTACAGCAAATATTATAATTCAAACCATACAGATTAAATAGAAAATAAGCTCTGTCCTTTATTTGGTGTCTTTATGCAGCAGTAATAGATCATGCCTTAAGTTGAAGTCTTCTTTTCCTTTCCTGTAAATATATCATGCCTTAAGTTGAAGTCTTCTTTTCCTTTCCTGTAAATATATCATGCCTTGAGTAGAAGTCTTCTTTTTCTATCCTGTAAATATATCATGCCTTAAGTTGAAGTCTTCTTTTCCTTTCCTGTAAATATATCATGCCTTGAGTTGAAGTCTTCTTTTTCTATCCTGTAAATATATCATGCCTTGGATAGAAGTATTCCTTTCCTTTCCTGTAAATAGATAAATCGTTGATACAAAAGATTGCTACATGTACCAGACACTGTGACGTTACGTTAATATTATAAGGAAGCTTCCATTTCATTTTTAGGAAAAGGGGGGGGGGGGGGGGGGGGGGGGCTGATGAAATTTGAAAAAAAACGTCAGGACCGAATAGAAGGAAAAACAAAAAGAAAAAGGCAGGACAGAGATTACAATTAAAAAAAAAATGCAGGACAACATTTTTCATCCTCACCCCCTTTTCTCCCAAATAAAGTCAAATGGTGGTAGCTCCATTACGTATAAATAAGCCTGCTATATGTATATCGTTACAGGGTGAACTGCATTGAATGTCTCAATACTTTCTGTTATCGTCATTCTGACGTTGATATCTATAAAATGAAAGGATTGTACCTGCATAGGGTAATTTTGATATCATTTAGAAAGAGTACGAGCCCCTTTACAAACATTCTGATATCTGAGTATACAACAAATTTTGAGGAGGTTTGCGCGAACTATAAGTTCAGTTTTAAAAAATGTATCATGAGAATCATTCTGTCAGCACTGTGTTAATCGGGACAATTTCAAACTCGATATTTGATTCTAAAATTTTGTACAATACAAACATTTAAAAATAGATGTGAAACCCTGTCTATTCTGGAAAAGATGTAGTTACAGTCTAAACAGTAACTTTCTTTCACTTGCAGTATATTTACATATTTGCCAATGTGCGTTTTTTTGTATTGGTAGCAGAAATGTCCTTAAAAACTAGTAAGTCTATTTCCTCATCAACTGATTACGCTTGAGAATTGGCAATAGTTAGGAATAGTTCACGTTCACGATTTTTTTACTACACTGTATGGTATAATAGCCTTATAGAGTATAGAAATTGTGGTGACGTTACAGTAGAAATTAAATAAGGTCACCGAATTTTTTTTTTCACCTAAAAATCAAACATTAAGAAATGCATTCTAAAAAAATAAACTAAGTAAATGGGGATGGACACAGATGCTGCCCCCGCTTGCATATAATGTTTTAAAGGGACACAACTCAAGAAATGTAAAAGTGACGCTACCCAAATTTGTACTTGCTCTAAGTTTTGTGGTAATTAGCATTGTGTATACGTTTCATAACAAACTTAAGTTAGATAACCGAAACAAATAATCCAGCAATTTTTCCATTTGTTAAGGGCCATAACTCTAGAACGGTAAAAAATGACGCCACCAAAGTTCAAACTTGATCTGTGTTTTGTAGTAATAAGCATTGTGTATAAGTTTCATAACATTTGGTTGAGGAAAACTAAAGTTAGAGAACGGAACAAAAAATGCATTTTTTCCATTTGTAAAGGGGCATAACTCTAGAACGGCAAAAGTGACGCCACCAATATTCAAACTTGGTCTGTGTTTTGTGGTAATAAACATTGTGTATAAGTTCCATAAAGTTTGGTTGAGGCAACTTAAGTTAGAGAACGGAAACAAAACAATTAGCAATTTTTCCATTTGTAAAGGGGCATAACTCTAGAACGGTTATAATGACGCCACTAAAATTCAACCTTGATCTATGTTGTGTGGTAATAAGCATTGTGTATAAGTTTCATAACATTAAGTTGATGCAAACTAAAGTTAGAAAACGGAAACAAAAAATTCAGCAATTTTTCCATTTGTAAAGGGGCATAACTCAAGAATGGCAAAAGTGACGCCACCAAAATTCAAACTTGATCTGTGTTTTGTGGTAATAAGCATTGTGTATAAGTTTCATAACATTTTGTTGAGGCAAACTAAAGTTAGAGAATGCAAACCAATTTTGGGACGTTCTTACGGACGTACAGACAGACAAGGATAAAAAAACTTATTGCCCCCCTCCGCTACGGCGGGGGCATAAACATTTGAAAATCAATCTTTATAAGTCTGTTGCCGATGAAAAAAAGCAATATCTAGAAGCATTGAATTATATTTAACAAGAATTTATCCATAGTACACGGATGCCCCATTGCACTATCATTTTCTATGTTCAGTGGACCGTGAAATTGGGGTCAAAAATCTAATTTGGCATTTAAATTAGAAAGATCAAATCATAGGGAACATGTGTACGACGTTTCAAGTTGACTGGACTTCAACTTCATCAAAAACTACCTTGACCAAAAACGTTAACATGAAGCGGGACAGACGAACGGACGAACGGACGAACGGACGCACAGACCAGGAAACATAATGCCCCTCTACTATCGTAGGTGGGGAATAAAAATAACAAGAACAACTTTCAGTGGTGTCGTGGTAATATGTTTGCATCGAGTGCAGGAGGTCATGGGATCGAAACCCGGCTTGGTGAAAACAAAAACTTTAAAAGTGACATTTGCTGCGACTACGCTGAGCACGCAGCATTAAGGAGTAAGAGAAAAGACTGGTCGGCTCGGAATTAGAATAAGGTGTCCGACTAGGGTGACATGTGAAGCGGCGGATTTTACCCGAATCCTCCTTATGGAACTACTTTTATGGCTAATGAAAATGTTTAACATGTTCCACTCCAAACATTGCCTAATAAGGGGCCCCGGTCCCCCCTTTTTTCAAAATCCCGGATCCGCATCTGATGTCTTCCTACGGACTGTTGCCTTGTGAGCGAGAAAGTTGTAAATCCATCCTAGCAAGTCGGTCTAGTACAAAGCAGGGCTAATTTGGATATCACATTAACATATGTTCCCGTCCTAAATAAAAATTAACTTTGCCGCTTGACTTTAAGCAGCAATCCATCTTCACCATCTTATACTAAATTGCACTAACACTCGTGTTCTATAATAGATACCTTATTAGCGTAT